AAAATTAATTCAGGCCCACTCTCAATCAAATTACCTCAATTACAGTACTGTATGTTTCACACTGATATCTTCTCCTGCTTGTTGTGACGTTGCATCTAAACTCCATCATGCACCAAATGAATCTTCCTGCTGCAACAAAGCAAGATGAAACAGCCTCGTGCGCGTCCTCTCATGGGATCTAATGATCAAACACAACACTGGACCTCTTGAGAGTTATCCTGCTATATGAGTCATGCTTCCCCGCTTTCTCTGCTTTACTTTGTTCTGTGAGTGTGTAATGTGACCTACTGCAGAATTAACAGATGATCAGCAGGGAATGGGGCAGAAACAGGCGTTTTTAGGTGAGGAAACTGAGGGTTATACTCCCTGCTGAGTAAGAAAAAAACACGTGTTTTGCTTCGCTGTGGACAGATTCGGGGAACACAACTGTTATTTTCTTCATATCAAAGCATTTTATCACAGAAAGATGACATGTCTTTGCTTTTTTATCTTGCAAAGAACAACAGTCTAATTTGGACAGATTAAGATTAAGTGTTTCCTGTGATACGCCTGGTGTCTGCAAACCACTGTGAAAGCGTGCTCACAAGTGCATGTGCCTCTGCATTTATTTGAGTCAGTAATTGGACACTGAGCATGTGCAGCGTCTCAAAGTCAACCTTGATCTCTGAATAAAAGTGCGGAGCGAATCCTCAACAATCCCCTTAGCTTCATAGATCAGAGACGAGAAAAGAAAAATAAGGAACTCGAAAGGGTGTGCAGAGGAGTGCAGCGGGCAAAGTCATTTTAGAAATAATGGAATAGGAGGATGAATAAGTATGGACAAAACCGGAAAACATAAAAAGTGTAATTTACTTACATTTATATTTATTATACTGATTCCAGGGACTGAAGGAAAAACAGAGAATATGTATGTGTGAATGAGGGGGAGGCAGGTGGAAAGGTTATTAGAGGTAGTGAAGGTGTATGAGCTGATACACCCGGGGTCAGCCATCCAAAGCAATGTACAGTGCACAGCGGAGGTGAAGAAAGGAGTGCAGGAAGGGCGGAGTGGGTGGAAATGAGTGTCAGGGGTGATTTGTGACAGAAAGACAGGAGCAAAAGTGAAAGGGAAGGTTTACAAGAGAGCTGCTATGATGTATGGTTTGGAGATGGTGGCACTAACAAAAAGACAGGAGGTGGAGATGAAGGCAGATGAGCCGCTGTGCTGATCCCTGATAAAGATGATACTGACTGCAGGCTTCTGATTTTAAATGTCTTTTAAACAATATTTTTCTTTCTAAACTTATTAAACGTACTAGAGACCAAAAGGTCTCTTAGGTTCCACAGAATCGTACAGGGGAGACGTTTTCCACTTATCCCATAATATGGATTTATCTTGTTTTGCCTTAGTGTCACTTAAAATGAGAAGTGACTCAAATAGCCCTTAGTAAAGCACAGTTAGCTTGCTAAGCTGGTCTGCAGGAATAGTTTTTAGTACCAGCGAGAAGTGAGTGATTTCCTGACTGATACACGTTGACAGTTTTTCACTCAGACACATCTTGGGAGGCACACTGCTAAGACACTGTTGCACTACATGCCTCATACAGGTAGTGTTATTGTCACAATGGTGCCCATTTATAAGTACACACTTTTAATTTCTACACTATGATTTTATTATAATAATAATTTATAGCAAATTATTGTCATGGCTCCTTGCTGTGGTTTGTAGATCACTAGTGTTCCTTTCACACCTCTTTAAAAACCATTAACTCAGATCAAACTGAGCAGAGAGATTTAAACTTCGCCTCAGGGAATTTTAAAGTGTATTCTATTTATCTTTATTTAGAATGTAAAAATATAGAAATCAGATAGTGACAAATATATATTTTCTTCTTCTTTTTTTTT